GTGTGCCAAACCTAGTGTACTGAAAAAACACATCAGGTCCCATACTGGGGAGCGGCCATATAAAACTTGGTTAGAAATAGCTTTATATTTGTTAATGAGGCTTTCTAAAATCTTACACTTTTGTAGATCATGTCCATCAAGGGTTTTCCTTCAGATAGCTTTCTAAAGTTAAGAAGTATTTAAAAGAGTGCCCAAAATTCAAACATGGAAGAGACTTATGCTTATGACTCAATGCAGAGTTTGAAATTAATATATATTAATTATAGAATTAATGTACTTGCAATAGAAATAAGTCCTTGGAGTAAAAAAACATTTCAAATTTACCTAATTTCTGGTTGGTTAGTTAGGATTCGTTTTGGTTTCTTATTTGAAACGATTAGACAATCTCTTTGTATTTTCTTTTTCTTCAGGTCATTTTATGAAACTGGCAATTGAACTTTGCTCCAGTTGATGGGCAAAATTTCTCCTAGAGTATTCATCATCCCGATTTCATCCTGGTTGAAAATTTTCAAATGCCATAAGAAATCTTTCTAGGTTTGCACTTAGCTTTTGGATGGACATTTCTACAATGGAGAGAACTGTGTTATAGCCCTGGTCCAAGGGACATTACTGTCTAATGCCCATTGACTGTGGTGTGCGTGTGGAAGGTTCCAAAGAGAAGGAGCAATCAGCAAGTTTGCAGACACCCTGGAACATGGAAGCAACCAAGCTCTAAGAAGCACAGCTTTGGAGTCACTCCATGAGTCTGCACGGCTTTCAGGGGAACTAGCACTTAAGACCTTGTGTAACAAAATGGACACTGGGGACACAGCTCTAGGACAAAAAGCTACCTCAAGGTCTGGAGAAACTGATAAAGCATCAGGTAGATGGAGACAGGAACAATCAGCTGTTATTAAGATGAGCACTTTTGGCAGTCAAGAAGGACAGCGGCCACCACAAATAGAGCCCGAGCAAATAGGAAACACAGCATCAGCACAACTGTTTGGTTCTGGGAAACTGGCCTCCCCTAGTGAAGTGGTGCAGCAAGTCGCAGAGAAGCAATATCCACCGCATCGTCCGAGTCCTTACTCATGCCAACACTCACTCTCTTTCCCTCAACACTCATTGCCACAGGGGGTCATGCACAGCACCAAGCCACATCAGAGCCTCGAAGGTCCTCCGTGGCTTTTCCCTGGCCCTTTGCCATCCGTTGCCTCCAAGGACTTATTTCCTTTTCCTATACATGGTCACAGTGGTGGTTATCCTAGAAAAAAGATTTCAAGTCTGAACCCTGCTTATAGCCAATACTCCCAGAAAAGTATCAAACAGGCAGAAGAGGCTCACAGGAAAGAGCACAAACCCAAAAAGCCTGGCAAGTACATTTGCCCTTACTGCAGCAGAGCGTGTGCCAAACCTAGTGTACTGAAAAAACACATCAGGTCCCATACTGGGGAGCGGCCATATCCATGTATACCTTGTGGTTTCTCTTTCAAGACAAAGAGCAATTTGTACAAGCACAGGAAGTCACATGCCCATGCAATTAAGGCAGGATTAGTACCTTTCACAGAGTCAGCTGTATCTAAATTGGACCTAGAGGCTGGTTTTATTGATGTAGAAGCAGAAATACATTCAGATGGTGAACAGAGTACAGACACAGATGAGGAGAGTTCTTTATTTGCCGAGGCCTCTGACAAAATGAGTCCTGGTCCACCCATCCCACTGGACATTGCCAGCAGAGGTGGCTATCATGGGTCATTGGAGGAATCATTGGGAGGTCCAATGAAGGTGCCGATTTTGATTATCCCCAAAAGTGGGATTCCTCTTCCTAACGAAAGCTCTCCGTATATTGGCCCTGATATGCTACCAAATCCATCTTTAAATACTAAGGCTGATGATTCGCACACAGTCAAACAGAAACTTGCACTAAGACTGTCGGAGAAAAAAGGACAAGACTCTGAGCCATCGCTCAACCTCCTGAGCCCGCACAGTAAAGGAAGCACTGATTCTGGTTACTTTTCTCGCTCAGAAAGCGCTGAGCAGCAAATAAGCCCTCCCAACACAAATGCAAAGTCTTATGAAGAAATCATCTTTGGAAAATACTGTCGGCTCAGTCCGAGAAATGCACTCAGTGTTACAACCACAAGTCAGGAGCGTGCCGCAATGGGTAGGAAGGGCATAATGGAACCATTACCTCACGTAAACACCAGGCTAGATGTCAAGATGTTTGAAGATCCTGTTTCACAGCTGATCCCAAGCAAGGGAGACGTCGACCCCAGTCAAACGAGCATGCTGAAATCCACTAAATTCAACAGTGAGTCCCGACAGCCCCAGATTATTCCACCCATCAGGAATGAAGGAAAACTTTATCCAGCAAACTTTCAGGGCAGCAGCCCGGTTCTCTTAGAAGCTCCTGTAGACTCTTCACCCCTTATTAGAAGCAACTCAATGCCAACTTCTTCAGCAACTAATTTAACTATTCCCCCTTCTTTGAGAGGAAGTCACTCATTTGATGAAAGGATGACTGGTTCCGACGATGTATTCTATCCAGGGACTGTGGGCATACCCCCGCAGCGCATGCTAAGAAGACAAGCGGCATTTGAGCTGCCTTCAGTACAGGAGGGCCATGGGGAGGTGGAGCACCACGGCAGGATGTTGAAAGGTATCAGCAGTTCATCCCTGAAGGAAAAGAAATTATCTTCTGGGGACAGGATTGGGTATGACTATGACATCTGTCGGAAACCCTATAAGAAGTGGGACGACTCTGAAACACCAAAGCAAAGCTACAGGGACATTTCCTGCTTGAGTTCTTTAAAACATGGTGGAGAATATTTTATGGATCCTGCGGTGCCATTGCAGGGAGTACCAAGCATGTTTGGAACTACCTGTGAAAACAGGAAACGCCGGAAAGAGAAGAGCGTAGGGGACGAAGAGGACACCCCCATGATCTGCAGCAGCGTCGTAAGCACTCCTGTGGGCATCATGGCTTCTGATTATGACCCCAAACTGCAGATGCAGGAAGGAGTCAGGAGTGGATTTGCCATGGCTGGACATGAAAACCCTTCTTATGGTCACACTGAACGCTTTGACCCGTGTCGACCCCAACTGCAGTCTGGAAGTCCATCTCTTGGGTCAGAGGAGTCACCATCAGCCATTGATTCAGACAAGATGTCAGACATAGGGGGCAGGAAACCTCCTGGAAATGTGATTTCTGTGATTCAGCACACCAACTCGCTGAGCCGACCCAATTCATTCGAAAGATCTGAGTCAGCTGAACTTGTGGCCTGCACACAGGATAAAGCCCCTTCCCCTTCGGAGACGTGCGACAGTGAGATTTCAGAAGCCCCAGTGAGTCCTGAGTGGGCTCCACCCGGGGATGGTGCAGAAAGTGGGGGGAAACCCTCTCCATCTCAGCAGGTGCAGCAGCAGTCCTATCACACACAGCCCAGGCTAGTTCGGCAACACAACATCCAGGTTCCCGAGATTCGAGTGACTGAGGAGCCTGATAAACCCGAGAAGGAGAAAGAAGCCCAGAGCAAAGAGCCAGAGAAGCCTGTGGAAGAATTTCAGTGGCCCCAAAGAAGCGAGACCCTTTCCCAACTCCCTGCCGAGAAGTTGCCACCCAAAAAGAAGCGTCTTCGACTTGCAGATATGGAGCACTCCTCAGGGGAGTCCAGCTTTGAATCCACAGGCACAGGCCTCTCCCGCAGCCCCAGCCAAGAAAGCAACTTGTCCCACAGCTCCAGTTTCTCCATGTCTTTTGAAAGAGAAGAAACCAGTAAGCTTTCTGCACTTCCTAAGCAGGATGAGTTTGGGAAGCATTCAGAATTTCTGACCGTCCCTGCTGGTTCATACTCGTTGTCTGTCCCAGGCCATCACCACCAGAAAGAGATGCGACGCTGCTCATCAGAGCAGATGCCTTGTCCTCACCCAGCGGAAGTCCCAGAAGTTCGGAGCAAATCATTTGACTATGGGAATCTGTCCCATGCTCCTGTGTCGGGAGCAGCAGCCTCCACAGTATCACCGTCCAGGGAGAGGAAGAAATGCTTTCTGGTGCGGCAAGCTTCCTTCAGCGGCTCCCCAGAAATCGCCCAGGGTGAGGCTGGCATGGATCAGAGCGTGAAGCAGGAGCAGCTAGAGCATCTGCATGCTGGCCTCCGGTCCGGGTGGCACCATGGCCCACCCACCGTGCTGCCTCCTCTTCAGCAAGAGGACCCAGGGAAGCAGGTGGTAAGTCCTTGTGCCCCACTGAGCTCGGGGCCACTGCACCTGGCCCAGCCACAGATCATGCACATGGACAGTCAGGAATCTTTGAGAAATCCCTTGATCCAACCAACATCCTATATGACAAGCAAGCACTTACCTGAACAGCCACACTTATTTCCACATCAAGAGACAATTCCCTTTTCTCCAATCCAGAATGCCTTGTTTCAGTTTCAATATCCTACAGTCTGTATGGTTCATTTACCAGCTCAGCAGCCTCCCTGGTGGCAGGCGCATTTTCCACATCCCTTTGCTCAGCAGCCTCAGAAGAGCTATGGCAAACCCTCTTTTCAGACAGAAATCCATTCAAGCTATCCCTTAGAACATGTGGCGGAGCACACTGGAAAGAAACCTGCTGACTACGGACACACGAAGGAGCCGACCTACCCCTGTTATTCAGGAGCATCAGGGCTACACCCAAAGAACCTTCTTCCAAAGTTTCCATCAGACCAGAGCAGCAAGTCCACTGAAACGCCCTCTGAGCAGGTTCTTCAAGAAGATTTTGCCTCAGCAAATGCTGGGCCTCTGCAGTCCCTCCCGGGAACAGTGGTTCCTGTTCGGATCCAGACACACGTACCATCCTATGGAAGTGTGATGTACACAAGCATTTCTCAGATACTTGGGCAGAATAGCCCTGCCATTGTCATATGCAAAGTCGATGAGAATATGACCCAAAGGACACTGGTCACCAACGCAGCCATGCAAGGGATAGGATTCAACATTGCCCAGGTGCTGGGGCAGCATGCAGGCTTGGAAAAGTACCCCATTTGGAAAGCACCTCAGACTCTACCCCTTGGCTTAGAATCCTCAATCCCTTTGTGTTTGCCTTCCACCTCCGACAGCGTGGCCAGCCTGGGAGGTAGCAAGCGAATGCTTTCTCCAGCCAGTAGCTTGGAGCTCTTCATGGAAACCAAGCAGCAGAAAAGGGTCAAAGAAGAAAAGATGTATGGACAGATTGTGGAGGAGCTTAGTGCCGTGGAGCTGACCAACTCAGACATCAAAAAGGACCTCTCCCGCCCCCAGAAACCCCAACTGGTTCGACAAGGGTGTGCTTCTGAGCCAAAAGATGGCTTGCAGTCAGGGTCATCTTCCTTCTCCTCTCTGTCACCCTCCTCATCTCAAGACTATCCTTCTGCTAGCCCGTCCTCCAGGGAGCCATTCCCGCCCAGCAAGGAGATGCTTTCCCGGGCATCACTTCCAGGGCAGAAGTCCAGTGGGCCTTCTGAAAGCAAAGAGTCTTCCGATGAATTAGATATTGATGAGACTGCATCGGACATGAGCATGAGCCCACAGAGTTCCTCATTACCAGCAGGAGATGGTCAGCCAGAAGAGGAAGGGAAGGGCCACAAGCGGCCTGTTGGCATGCTGGTCCGCATGGCCTCTGCCCCCAGCGGGAATGTGGCAGACTCGACTCTTCTTCTCACGGACATGGCAGATTTCCAGCAGATTCTTCAGTTCCCCAGTCTGCGGACAACAACTACAGTGAGTTGGTGCTTCTTGAATTATACAAAACCCAATTATGTGCAACAGGCCACCTTCAAATCCTCCGTTTATGCTTCATGGTGCATTAGTTCCTGTAACCCAAACCCATCAGGATTGAACACCAAGACCACTCTGGCTCTTCTGAGGTCCAAGCAAAAAATCACTGCGGAAATTTATACCCTGGCTGCTATGCATAGGCCTGGAACTGGCAAGCTTACGTCGTCAAGTGCTTGGAAGCAGTTTACTCAGGTAACAAACACTGTTTTAGGAAGAACTCTGTATTGTGGATTTGATTGCTGAGCAGACTGCATAGTGAAGGATATAAGGCTTAAAAAAAAATACAAGTAAAATGAAAGTCAGTGTGGGGGCATCCTTCTCAGAAAGTCTGGCCTTACCCAGGAGTGGAAGAAGCCACTGACTGCACTTGGTTCTCAGGTCTCAGGCATGGTCTAGATACTGACAGTGTCACTTTCAGTATTTTCAGAAGGAAAAGCCTACACTTAATGTTTTTAAAATTTAAAAATGTGAGTGCCATGAAAGCCTCCACTGGGATCAATTCCCATGGGTTATTTTCCTTCTGACCTTTGTGAGTTACCTAGCAGGTTTAATTTTCTTTGGTTGAGAAGAATTCAGGGAATTGTGAAGTGGGCCACAGAGCAGAGAGAGGAGGCTGAAAGGAAAGATGAGGAAGGAGGACTGAGCTTTGCAAATGCCGCAGGGTGTATTCTCATCGACAAGACTTTTCACTAGAGTTCGTTTTTATGTATCTATCTCCTTCAAAAGTTATTTTTCCAAGTTGCTAGCTGGTTTATTCCTACCAGAAAAATCAATGTCTTCCAGGTAAAATTAAAAAAATATTAAGGGGCACTTTGGAATTTATGTCAAATTAATAAGGAGGCAAATAGAGGATTTAAAAATACATTTTCACTTATATCAGTTATTATTTTCCCTTCGATAATTTTTGAGACTACTTCCCTAATTAGTATAGATTGTTTTCATTGCTACTTCAGAACATAGAATATGTCTTTTAAGTCTCTGATAGCATTGCACAGAGTGAGTGCTGAGTGTTTATGTACATATATATTTATATATAAAATATATATCTATTTATATATATATATATATATATATATATATATAACAGAATGTTGAATTTATTCAGTAGAAACTGTCATTCTTACCAGATTTTATCCCTAGTGGCCCTTATTTTGTAAAACTAGTTCCTGGCCTTTTAGTACGGAATTTAGGATCATTTTCAGAGATTATGGAAGAATGGGAAATAGGGAAAGTGTCTTAGAGACTATGTCTTAGAGAAAGCATGTGAAATGATTATCTCTTCTTGTCTTACAGATGAAACCTGATGCATCCTTTTTATTTGGCAGCAAACTGGAAAGGAAATTAGTGGGAAATATCTTAAAGGAAAGAGGGAAAGGAGATATTCATGGAGATAAAGATATTGGATCCAAACAAACTGAGCCAATCCGAATTAAAATATTTGAAGGAGGGTAAGGAAACTTAAGTGCAGATGTAAAATGTTCAGTTATAGGTCAGAGTAAATGGTCCAGAATGTCTTCATGGAAAAAGTGCTGTCTAATCTGGTTGGGAGCTGAAAGTGAATTCTTTTTATATTTACATTTCTGAAGTCTGGCTGATAATAGATAAAAAGTTCATGCCCTTGCTTTTGGGTCTTGCTTTTCATGAAAACGTCCCCACTGGCTATCATTCAAGCCTCTTCCTTAAATTTTCACGCCTCTAATTTATCGTGAAATCTACTAAATTGGTCGACACTGATGTCATCTAAGTTCGTTCATTCTTTGATCATTTTATAGGTATTTGTTTTATTGATGGACATATTTTTATTCTATGCTTACAAAAATCAGATCATGTACAATCATGTATAATCTTCAAAACTAGTTAATTTGTTTATTTCTCTTATTATCTAAACTGGAAACTCTAATGTGATTTCACCAGTTCCATCAATATTCTTTTCTGTCCCAGGATCCAAGTCAGGATACCACGTTGCACTCAGTTGTCTTGCCTTCCCAGTCTTCTCTGGTCTATGACACGTTCTCTGTATTCAGGAATTTCTTTTCAAATGTTGAGTCCTGAGTCATAGAAACGCAAGTAATAAGGTTCAAAGACTTTGTTATTTGTGTAATTAAGAAAAATTACACGTGTAATGTCTTGTTATAGATTTTGATGAAATGTGTCTTTCATCCAGTCACATAGAAGGAAAAGCCTACACTTATGCTTTTAAAATTTAAAAATTTTGAAGTGTACCAACCACATTTTGAAGATTATGATGTAATTAGCCTTATCTGTACAAAAAATCTATTATTTATATATTTTCATGGGCATGACTTTATTCCAATTATATTTGGAGGACAATAATGTCATTTGTTTGACTATAAAATGTGGATTGTCCAGTGAGGTGAAATAACCATTTCTCATCTAGCATTACTGCTTTGGAGATGGATCATTCTATTTGGTTCTCCCTTAAGTTTTGCCTCCTTTGGATGTCTAACATTTTCACCACTAAAACTGTATACAATTATTATATATAGTCATGAATCTTGTCTTGATATTTTTCGACATCTCCATCTTTGAACACAAACAAGAGAAATATAGATTTTATCTTTCCTCAGAGACTGAGAGGTCCCTGGGACTGAATCAATCCTCTCACATTCAGCAGCCTTCGTAGCAGTGCACTTGTACCAATAGATTAGCGAGACCTCCAAATTACTCTATGCTTTGGGGAGCCCATCTCCACTAATGAAGGACACAAGCAAAAAAGCGTATGTGAACATTTTATTGCTGTGTTTTGGTGATCCAAAAGGATTGTGCCCATTTTTCATTTCCTCCTCCTTTAATTGTCCCCTGTTATGGGCTGTGTCCCAGTTACTTCTTAATCTATAGCCCAATTTCTGCCTGGTGTGACCAAGTGTTTTTTCCAAACCTTGTGTTACCTCCTCTTATTTTGGTGATTGCAAAGTGATAACTAAAAAAAAAAAAAAAAGTATTACTAACCAAAATTTTAAGTGTATATTATCAAATTGATGGGTTCAATAATTTAGTTAAACATAGCTTTGAATTTTTTTCAAAATCCATCAATTCTCTTATCAAGTAGATTCATGGGCCTGTAGATATTGTATGATATTTTATTTGTACAGGTTTTTCTAATACATACTTACGTTTTATACAGAATTTTACTGTATTTTTATTCTGGAAGCAAGTTAATCAGCTAAGACATTGAAAATAAAATTATACTGCTTGAAGATAAAATACATTTCCCATCACTATGATGGTGGGCTATAGTAAGCTTGAGGTATCCTTCCTTGAAGAAAATCAGCTTTCTATAAAATTGTTTTAGTGTATATCCCTTAAGCAATTTCATCTAGTTAGGAGTAGAGAATAGTGAAATTTAAACATAAAAGATATTTGCATCTTTAGGGTTTTTTCTACTTTATTAAAAAAGACAAAGATAAAATTCAAAATAATTTTGAAGAACAAATGGAAATCAACATTCCTGGTAGAAGGGGGAAATTTAAAGGAACCAAAGACATGCAAAATTGATTATTCATAGCTTTGATTCTACTTAACTCCCATCTGGATTGGTACTGACCAAAAAGTAGATAACGTTAAGATTAGATGTGAATCCAGAACAGAGTTGGTATTTAAATATGTGGATGGATTTTCTTTCTTAAAATTATTCCAATGGATTGGATGACTGAAGTTAAAGTTGCTTTTATTCTTATTTGTGGATTAGCTAGGATAAAATGGGAAAGTTTATAATGCTCTTAGAATGTAAAAAAGTATAAATATAGTGCCTTTATCTAAATCTACAGTGGATTAGGGCATTTTGCATGTCAGTTTACCTTTGAAAGTTATGAAAAGAACTCCCCAAAAGGAATATCATTCCAAGAATAATATTAGGCCCAAAATTCTAGCCTAGCTTTGACTTAAGAGGTAATGGCAGTCATTGAATTAGTCCATATAATATTTCTGTATCCTATGACAAATCGTGTTTTATTGTATTTTAAAATGGAATGGTTGAGCACTGGGTAGATTTCTTCCCTTGATTATCAAAGAAAACACCTAAGACTGTTTTTCTAGCCGACTTGATTAAGCAAGATGACCTCAGATATCCTTTCCAACATCTCTATGAAAGCCTTCTGGAAACAAATGCAAATTTGATTAAAAATAGAATCTCTAGTTTTCATTATATAACAGTACCTTGAAGAAGCTAGTTGAAATTTAAACTCCACATTAGTACAGATTCATGGTCTTTGGGAAGAGCAGATCAAATCTGTAGACAACAGTTGGTGAGCTGAGCTCACCCTGTGTAAACCAGAAATTTCTGACGCACTCTCGTGCCAGGATTGTAAAAATAGAGTAGGAACTTGCAATGAAGAATTCTATTACCAGTTATACTCATTTTAGCAAATTTAGAGGATTGTATGTTTGTACATGCACATCTTAGATGATGTAATGTTAACAAAAGATACATGATGAATATGCTGGTATGATTTTTGTAGGTCTCTTGATTGAAGACCATACTAGAATCCAATCCAAAGGTCTGCAACTCTGCAACTCTTTGAGGTTTGCATAAGTCAATTTGAACATCTATTTCCCAACTCTGTAAATTCACATGTAATAGTGGAGCCAATTCCATTTTGAATTCCATGTAGCATTACATTTTGTTTACAGTGCCAAATCTATTATCTAGTTCTTTCAGCCATTTACCACATAAATTTCACAGGCTTCATAGAAGTAAAGTTGACAAATTGTCAGTAAAAGACCCTCACAAAAATTTGCCGTGCAAACAATTAGCTTTTGCTTTAACATAGCATGCTAAGAATATTTGAAAACATACTGGATTTCCCTTTTTAAAACAGGTACAAATCGAATGAAGATTATGTATATGTCAGAGGACGTGGCCGTGGAAAGTACATTTGTGAAGAATGTGGGATTCGCTGCAAGAAGCCAAGCATGCTCAAGAAACACATCCGTACCCATACTGATGTTCGGCCCTACGTATGCAAGTTATGTAACTTTGCCTTCAAAACGAAAGGTACAAGTCTGACTTGTTTGAGAGGAAAAATACTTCTCTCTGGCTATTTAGACTTCTGAGTACTATTTTATAACTAACCTTCACCAACAATAAGATGGTTTTGTTTGTGAAAATATGATTCCACAAAATGTATTTTCTCCCTCAAGTAAGTGACCAAAGGATGTATGTGAGACTGTGAGGCTCCTTTTATGACTTAATTAAGAGCAATAGACATAGGTCCAGGCCGGTTGTCTCCGAAGGAAGTGAGTAAGAATGCTCTGGATAGCTATTACTTCATGCTGGAAATGTTATGTGGTCTAGATAATATTTACACCAGTATTGAAATCCTGCATATGCCGTGGTATTAGAGAAGCAAGGCAGCAGCTGGGGAAAAAACATGTGCTCTTGGTCAGTTTCAAGATTATAAATAATGTAGAGACCCACACATTCCCAGGTGGGCCCCTCCATCTACAGTTGCATTAATTATGCATAGAAATTTGATAGCTTGTGTTCCCTGTTTTTATCAGCACAGAGACAATTTCTGACTCTCAGGACTTAACTGTTAGTCTTATAAAACTAGGACTTGCCTGGAAATTTTTTAAAAATCTGTTTTTGAGTGGGGCACAGCGGGGGTCGGGGGGCAAGAAGAGGGGGAGGGATAACACCTGGAGAAATGCCTGATGCAGGCAATGGTAGGGGCAGGGATGGAGACAGCAAACCACCATGGCATGTATATACTTATGCAACAATCCTGCAGGATGCAGAGTATGCACAGGTACCCCAGAGCCCAAATACAATTAAAAAAACATAGAAAAAAAACAATAAAAAAGAATTTTATTTCTCAAAAAAAATCTGTTTTAACAGGTAGATTTATGTAAAAATATTTTACTCAAGGAAGTTACTTTGGTTATATTTCTATTTTTTGTAATATCATGAAAAAGTTCATAAGCCTGGTATTCTCGGAATACAAACAGTAGTGAATTAGAGGTTGTTTAACTTTTGCAGAAGTGTGCTTTACCTTAGGTTTAGTGGATACTATAGACACCCCTCACCACTTTAAATTTGCATAGTGATTAATCTTCTCTGATACTCTTCAAGAAAAATAAATATCAAGTAAAATAATCTTTGGTAGAGAAATGTACATCAATTTCCTTTTATAGCTGAAAATCCTAAATTGCTTTATTGGTTATAGAAGTGTAAATGGATAGCCTTCCAACATCTCTGTTTCTTTTTATTAAAAATGTATCTATATTACAGGAATGCCTCATTTGAAGCTGAAAAAAAGTGTGTATTCATTTGCATTTCAAAAAACACCCATATGGTCTTTTTTTAAAATTTATATATATATATATATATATATATATATTTTTTTTTTAATTGCACTTTAGGTTCTGGGGTACATGTGCAGAATATGCAGGATTGTTGCATAGGTACCTACATGGCAATATGGTTTGCTCCTTCCATCCCCGTCACCTATATCTGGCATTTCTCCCCACGTTATCCCTCCCCAGCCTGCCTACCCCCCGCTGTCCCTCCCCTAGTCCCCCCGACAGACCCCAGTGTGTGATGCTCCCCTCCCTGTGTCCATATGTTCTTATTATTCAACACCCACCTATGAGTGAAAACATGCAGAATTTGATTTTCTGTTCTTGTGTCAGTTTGCTGAGAATGATGGTTTCCAGATTCATCCATATCCCTGCAAAGGACACACACTCACCATTTTTTATGGCTGCATAGTATTTCGTGGTGTATATGTGCCACATTTTCCTTGTCCAGTCTATCATGGATGGGCATTTGGGTTGGTTCCAGGTCTTTGCTATTGTAAACAGTGCCACAATGAACATATGTGTACATGTGTCTTTATAATAGAATGATTTATAATCCTTTAGATATATACCCAGTAATGGGATTGCTGGGTCAAATGGAATTTCTATTTTTAGGTCCTTGAGGAATTAAATACCACTCACCTTTGCACACTCAAGCCTTTTATATAGAACTTTACTAAGAGATTCCCTAGGAGATAAGAAAATAAAAACTTTGATTTTAGGAAATACTGCAAATTCGCTAGTCATTACAAATAATACATGTCTTCACTGGGCATATGAGTTTGCTGCAGGTATAGTTGTGGGAAAACTGGATGAAGAAATGACACATCTCTAGACATTTTTAAAAATCAAATTAAGTCTGCCTCTGAATCATCATCTCCTGAAGGAAATCATTTATTCTTGGTCATTATTGGAGTTTCCTTGTCACCCTTTGGGAATATGCAAATGTCTCAGAATCAAAATGAGCAAAACATCCTGGGAAACCCTGCCAGTTTTCACCTCCGACTGAAATGCCTGTTGTCAAAACCCACATTGTCATCTGAGCACAGATGGAACGCCCTTGCACGACCAATCCCTTCTCCTTGTCTGTGCCACTTCTTCAGGGGCCTCCCCCGCCAATCTCCTTCCCTCTCCTTGTCCTTATGCATTACTTCCGCAGCTCATGACTTTCACAAACTAAAGCCATGGTGGGATTGTTTCAGATCCAGATATCTAGCTACAGACCTATTCTGAAGATGGGAGTCTAAAGCCTGACTATCCTTGGAATGGAGAGAAAAATGCAAAAGAAAGAAACACATACTCAAATCTAAACAAATCATCCTGACATGCTTAGCAGCCATACCTAGACACATCCACAGCATACTTGCACTCTGGCAGAAGCAGATGATTTCTATTAATTTATAGATACATTTCATTAATTTTCTAGATTTAAGGATTCTTGAAATGTCTATAACATTTTTGAGCTCTTTTAAAAATTGTAGATAAAAGTTTTGATAAATAAGAGCAGTGGGGGACCTGGAAATATTTCTGTGTTTAGAATTATCACAACAGCAAGTAAAATGTATAAATATATAAGCAATAAGTAAATAATACAGCAATATGAATAAAATAATAAACAACAGTGTCCCAGTTTTAACTGTGGCTCATGCACGAATAGCAAGCTTAACACCCCTACAAGAGGAATAAACTATGCCAGCAGGCTGAGTTTCCACAGAGATTTCACAGAGTCTTCTCTTAAAGTATTTGTTGGCACATTGTTAAAGCATTGTCAAAGGTACAGATAACATTATGGCTGTTTTCACTGAAGTAATGTAAAGGCTCCTTCCAACTGAATGAATTCCTGAATCTCTTTTGATGATAAGTTATGTGGCATAGAATTTATGTGTGTGTGTGTGTGTGTGTGTGTGTGTGTGTATTTTTTTCTATAGATTCTAGGTCAAGGGGGATTGGATCAATGTTTTCAAAATTTCTCATAATTCATAAAGTAGTTATATAAATTATATATATAATTTATATACACCCACATATATACACATAAAATTATATATGCCATTATCATTATAACATACTCAGCATGAAACCTTTCTTTTTTCTTAGCATGATAGGAGCCTGAAGATCAATAAAATAAAAATGGAATGCTGCTGCTCCAGAATTTTAGAAATTGCTCTCATAATGTTTGCTAACATATGCCAGACAGATAGATGCTAAATCCTGGAATAATGCTACCTATGAGTAGTTAGCTAATTATTTGTATGGATCTTTCAATGCACGGACAAAGTTGGCCCTCACATTAGTTTGTATGTATTTTTCTTCTGAACGTTGAGGATCCTTGGAGGTTACTATATAGCTGATCAATGACAGAAGGTTGGGACCCAGTGGGTGTGTTGAGGATATTTCATTCTGAAGTATCTCTGAGGTGTGTGGCTAGCTTGTGTTTCCATGTTTACGTGGAGACTCAGTACATCACCGATTCCATTATGTGCAGCTCTTGAATCCCACCCAGGAGGCTGATACACTGGGTAAATATGAGATCCCGTCCCAGGCAGAAAAGTCTGGGATTTTCAGTCTTGCTTGGTGCCTACTCTTGAAAAGTTGTGACCCTGGACTTTCACATTTCTTCTAGAATAAAGAAAATCTGAGATCGGGCCAAAGCTTTCAGGGATTGGTATCTTCAGAAACCAGATTATTCTTCTTAAGGTTGAAGCAAGGGGTAGTGGCTAGAAACAAATTTGCATTACGTGATGAATGTAATAAAATTAGTTCATTTCACATTGAATTTGGAGCAGTCATCAGTAGTTATTAATCTGATAACCAACTGATTTCTCTTCTTTTTGTGGTTACATTTTCCAGGTAACCTAACAAAGCATATGAAATCTAAAGCACATATGAAAAAATGCCTGGAATTGGGAGTCTCAATGACATCGGTGGATGATACAGAAACTGAGGAAGCAGGTATATCATAATTTAGTTGACAGACCTCTTCACTATGCACACTGGAGCTCTGTGGCTGAGGTGGTAAAATAAGTTTAGATATTTTTTAAAAGTGATCTCTTTTCATTTTATTAAATACTAAATATAGGAAATAAACCTGACACATTGAATTTCTTGAAACCTACTGAGAAGTGCACTTCAGTTTTGACTCTGAAGGCAAAAAAGGCCTTACTATGAAAATACTTCTATTTAGAGCCATGAAGGGAATAGAATTGCACTTGCTTTGTGATCGCGAATTAGATTTTATGAGGCTTTTGGGGAAATTTGAAAAGCATTTTAATGTATTATTATTCCAGTTAAGAAGAAACCCAGTAGGAAAACAAACAAACATCATTGACCTCAGTGGAGAACCTGGAGGTTGGCCAGACCCCCTGAGATACATCACTTAGACGTACGCTTGTACCTGAGCTTGCAGAGACAGGCTGTTGCATTGGTTTTCCATCTAGCATCATCATTAACATCATCCATACTCAGTTGTTGAGGATTTTCTGTGAGTGGGGTGATGTCTGAGATATAAGATCCTACTGTGGAATCTTTCTTGTAAGTTGGGGATGAAAAAAATAGATATATCGGAAGATAGAATGAATGCAGGGTCACACAGGTAAGTGCCTCATTTTATAGGAGTTATCAGACATAACTGTCTGCGGGCACTAGGGATTGGGAAAAGCTTTTGGAAAGAGATGGGGCTTAAATAAGACCCTGACCTTGACATTTGAATCTTGATCTCCATTATCTTTGTTCAATTGTTTCAGAAAATATGGAAGATTTGCACAAAGCAGCAGAGAAGCATAGCATGTCCAGCATTTCAACTGATCATCAGTTCTCAGATGCCGAGGAATCGGATGGTGAGGATGGAGATGATAATGATGATGATGATGAAGATGAGGATGACTTTGATGACCAGGGAGATTTGACACCAAAAACGAGATCAAGAAGCACCAGTCCTCAGCCTCCTAGATTCTCCTCCTTGCCTGTGAATGTTGGCGCCGTACCCCACGGGGTTCCTTCAGATAGTTCCCTGGGACATTCTTCATTGATCAGCTATTTGGTTACTTTGCCAAGTATTCGAGTTACTCAGCTTATGACACCCAGTGACTCATGTGAAGATACTCAGATGACAGAATACCAGAGGCTGTTCCAGAGCAAAAGTACAGACTCGGAACCAGACAAAGACAGATTGGACATACCTAGTTGTATGGATGAGGAGTGCATGCTACCTTCAGAGCCTAGCTCCTCTCCCAGGGACTTCTCACCCTCAAGCCGCCATTCCTCACCAGGTTATGATTCTTCACCCTGTCGAGATAATTCACCAAAGAGGTATCTGATACCTAAAGGAGATTTATCTCCCAGAAGACACTTATCACCTAGGAGAGATCTGTCACCCATGAGGCATCTTTCACCAAGAAAGGAAGCTGCATTGAGGAGAGAGATGTCCCAAAGAGATGTTTCACCAAGAAGGCATTTGTCTCCAAGGAGGCCAGTGTCTCCTGGGAAAGATATCACAGCGAGAAGAGACCTCTCTCCTAGAAGAGAGAGAAGATACATGACCACCATAAGAGCGCCATCTCCCAGAAGGGCTTTATACCATAACCCGCCATTGTCCATGGGGCAGTATTTGCAAACAGAGCCAATTGTATTGGGGCCTCCTGTAAGTATAATTCACTTGTCTTTCTAATATATAAGTGGAAGCACACTGGTGCCTCCTGTTAATGCACTGGTGTAAAATTTAGTATAGCATGGGTATCTGTCATGGGTGGAGTGAATCTGGCTACTGAAAATAGCAGGGAGACATTTTTGTCATATGCCATTGTCAGTAACATGACTGTGGAATTATCCAAAGTGTAGTATTGCATCAGAGCAGCAGTGCATTCCCAGTGGGAACAAGTGAGGCCTTTCTGAAGGCTTTCCAAACTTAATTAATTATAGACGTGAGCTGAAGCCTTTTTGTAAGTAAAAAAGATGAAGGCTTTAGAATGGCGTAACTGCATATTCATGTGCACTCACAGGGATATTTAGGCATCACTAATATAACTCATCACCAGGTGAGGATTCCGATGCAGTTGTTAACCTTGACTTTCAGAAACTTTTATTTTTTTAATTTATATTTTATTTATTTATTTTTTGAGACAGGGTCTTACTCTTTCACCCAGGCTGGAGTGCAGTGGCATGACTTTGGCTCACTGCAACCTCAAGCAATTCTCCCATCTCAGCCTCCCGAGAAGCTGGGACTACAGGTGTGTGCCACCACGCCTGGCTAATTTTTTAATTTTTTGGTAGAGATGGGGTTTCACCATGTTGGCCAGGCTGGTCTTGAACTCCTGACCTCAAGTGATCCACCTGCCTTGGCCTCCTCAAGTGCTAGGATTACAGGCATGAGCCACTGCGCCCGACCTCAAAAACTTCTTTTTTAATACACTCATTACCTTGCCCATTGTGAGTGGACATGCGAAACTGGTCTGGGACAAGGAGAGGAAAGAATGACACACTTGGTGTGTTTATAAATCAAAGACATGAGCATGTCTGTTTTTCTTGCCATGACTACCATCAAATGCACTTGCTCAGTGGAAGCATGGGCCCAAGGAGAATGGGAAGTCAGGAGAGCTAAGCGAGAATGTGTGAAGATTTCTATGATGTGCCTTCATTATAAATGAAAATAACAGTAGCCATGATGGATTACATTTAAGTAGTAGGTTTAATACAAATTCATAAAAAGACCACCAGTCTTGCCTAATTCCATGGGTCCGTAGACTGTGGTCTCTTTCAGTTTGCGTAGGATTTTAAAAAATCAATACAGCATGCACTTACCGTAGACAGAGGCATGACACCTTTGGAATCTGTCTGCCCTGAATGTGTTTGATTTCCTGCTCTACTCTTTGTTTTACTGTCTTGCTCCGGATCTCTGTGTCATGTGCATCAGCACCATCTTTCACAGCCAGAGGAGACACTGCCAGCTCCCAGCTCTGTTTTATCACTGCCCTGTCGGCCAGTTTTCTCCCTCTCATCACCTTCCACCAGCCTGAATCCTGAGCTCAGCCTGTCATTTTTTAACTTTAGGAAAGCTGCTGCATTCCTCTCCCCACTCCCTGCATGGCCTTTTCACAAGTCTGGTACCAACTTCATCTTTATGAAACAAATCTTGCAGAAACATGTATAGCAATTGGGATTCTGTTAGCAACATCCCAGTGTTGAGTGCTGCTAATAGATTAGCAAGCTAATAAGACAAAGAGGTACATTTACACAGGTTTTGGTGCCTTAGCAAAAGTAGGAAAAAGGGATCTTCTTCAGTTTGTGCCACTGCAGCCCAAAGAGAACTGTAAATCTCCTGGATCATGGGATACCAAGTCTGAGGTGATACATGCTTTCTCTGGTACACATGCAGTGATGCTGGCAGGGTGTGTTAGACAAGTCTGTCCCTGCATCCCTGCAGCTCCTGTTCTAGTGTTGGCCAGGTGGATTGAGAGCGGCATTTGTGAAAGAGTGGTGCATACTCAGTCAACTGCAAACATGCAGTTTTTTCAGTCAGAAAAAGTAAGACTTTAGTGCAAACATGCTGTGGTTATAAATAATTATAGCACCCCACAGTCAAGTTGGGCAAAGGAATTGAAAGAGGGGCCTAAGGGAGTTCATGTGATTTTTAGATATATGCCCAGGAAGTTGGAGAGAGATGAGTTTTAGTAGTCACTGAGCTTGTACCAGTTTTTGATGTTGGTTTGTTTTGTTTTTAAATACCAGATCATGAGTATATTTTATAATGTTGTTAAACTTTATCATTTATGACGCTTTTGGTCTATTACCTAGTTTAATTCTCTTTAGAGATTGTATAGCCTGCTGCATTGTTCACATGATATGAAGGAACAGATGTGGGAATCCTCCCTGATGCAGGGACAGCTGGTCCCAAGCACTGCCCACTTTATGCTTTCTCACACCACAGGATACTGACTGTGATGTGAAGGGACCTTCTGGCTCACTGTGACATAGTCATATTCTGGCTGTGTTTGGAGTGATGGTGATCATAGGAAACACAGGTTTGGAGGAAATGAATGAATTCAATTGTAGATTATGTTAAGTGTATGTCCATATTTATGTATACAGACATACACACATATGTACATACACAGACATCCGTATATACATCTATATGTCATCTACCAGACCTATTACCCTACTCATCTCTTCAACAGTGCGGCAGTAGGGACCTCTGGACGCAAATGATGAAAGGGAGGGAGGAGAGCAACAGGCTTCCTGCCACCCTGTCAGTTCTGCCAGTGCCCTTGGGTTAGTTTTAATTTTAAGATAGATAAATGATTGATTGATAGATAGATAGATAGATAGATAGATAGATAGATAGATAGATAGAATGAAAAGGTAAGAATCTTTTATCCATTTATTCAGTATTTACTAAATTTGAATTTTTGAGAGTCTACTACATGTGGTTCAAGGATGAAAATGAAATAATATTATGGCTTGTGGCCTCATCCTTTTTTCAATAAATACAATTCCTTTTCCATTTTAAAACTTTTGTAGATAAATAGCAGAAAGAAAGACAAAGGTGTGTCCAGGTCCTCAGTATGTAGTGTAGATGAGGATCATGTCTAGTGAAACAGCCAACGTTGATTCCTATCCCTTGCTTTCTGCGCGATCCTGGGCAAGTCACTTAACCTCTTGGCCACAGTTTTTTAATTGATTTCTGGCAGCCAGGGAGGTGGCCCATGCAGATTTCTGTCCCTGAAAGAAGGTGCCATTCAGCTGTAAGGAATGTAGTGGGCAGAGAGCCTCATGCTGGCATGTCGGCACCTTCAGGACAGGCCTGTTTTCAAGCCAAGGCCATGCTCTCCCTGCAGCCCCATCCAGTGACTGAGCACAGATGCTTCACCTCTCCCTCCTCTGCTCCCTGCTGCCCCCAAGGAGGCTCTTGCTCTTCTATGTCCCTCTCATCATTTGCATCTAGAGCTCCCTACTGCCATACTGTTGAAGAGATGAGTGGAGTAATAGATCTGCTACATGGCATATAGATGTATATATAGATGTCTGTGTATGTACATTTCTACATGTGTGTATATATGTCTATATATATATATATATATATATATGCACATACACTTAACACAATCTACCTTTGAATTCACTATTTGCTTTTCCATGACAAAATTTTTCTTACTGAGATTTAATAAGATGGGAGTTTGTTCACCACATTTATAAGGCGCAAACTACAAAACAATAGGATTGCAACTGGAGTAAAAACCAAAGTAGAGAAAACTTATTGGAAGTTTCTTTGGAGGATGAAGAAAGGGTGAATGGGAGGAGAGAGAATATGTAGAATATGTGGAAATGCCTGATGGGGGTTGGAGTGCTGGAAGTGGCCACATGGTAGAAATTCTACTTGTACATGTGGCTCTGTGGTTAAAATCATTTCATTTCTGATCAGTAAAGGGCTGAATTTGAAACATTTATTAGTAGCACCCACAAGATTTTATTGGATTTAGAACATGTCGAATAGTATTGTAATTTTAGAGGACAAATCATGACTCCATTTGTCAGCCTGGAGTTGGAGATCTCAGCTCAGTTTACATTATAGGACATCTCTCTCTGACTTCTGTTCACTTCCTCAGTCCCCCACAGATCCACATTCTGATTGGTTGTATGCAGTGGAGGTCATGGAATAGCCACCAGAAGTAAAATGGAAAATTAGCCAAGCTAGATTTATTTTAAACTTTGAGTCTGTGATCGCTATGATTAAAAGAAAACCTACTTATCTTTAAAGATTGTTACTGTAGGCATTGCAGGTCTTCCTTTCAAACTGGTGTTTGATGAAGGAGACATGCCTTTTCCAAGCCCGATTAAACACAAGGGGGATTTCGTGTGTGTGCAGAATTTAAACGATTCTTGTAACACAAAATTCTCACCTTTCCCAGAGTGTGAGGTCCTGGTAATGATAGTATTGATGATTACACCATTTCACTCACACTTTCAGGAGAACCCATGTTTCCAGCTTGTATATGATATATCACAGAGCAAGATAAGAGATTTCTGCATCTCAGAGAGTAGCAGAAATCACAGTCTAGATAGAACTGGATGAATCCTTAATGGTATAGAGCATACCTTGAGTTTTAGCACTGAAACACTCTTGAAATGAATTAGAACATTTTCTTTGGCTCTATCCTGGACTACTACCATACTGTACAGGTTTCTGTCTATCTATCTGTCTATCTATCTATCTATCTATCTATCTGTCTGTCTATCTATCTGTCTATCTTTCTATCTTTGATTCTCAAAAAATAGAAAAATAAATGAATTCCTTTTTAGATGAAAATCCATTCAAAGAGTGAATCACAGCAATTGAAAAGATGATAATATCATTAAAACCTGATTTGACAATCTAAGTTGTATTTCACTACAGAAATAGTATAGAAAATAAATTCTCCATTTTCAGGACTGAGACTATGAAATCTGAAATTCTGGCTGAGCATTTTATGCATCCTTAATTCATTGACTGCCAACAAGATATTGAGGTGGAAATAATAATATGAACAAAAGCATTAAGATGTCGTCATCTTTGGTACCCTGCTATGGAGTTGAACATAAGTTGTTAACTGTAATAATAATGTTAACTACTTCTATGGTGGATAGTTTCCTTTAAAAAAATTATTATTGATGTGAGACTTAAATGGCCTTGATTTGCTATTGGACAAAGAAGCTGGTCTCCTGCATTGAATATCTTCTGGCAGGAATATATTCCTTTAGACCACTGCCTTACACATTGGAGGAACCAGTTTGTGGGCCTCACCACCATTTTGTCATCTGTTCTGTGGAAATTTTTTTTTAAATAGCCAATTTTCAGGCCTGTCATTCCAATTATATACTCATCAACACTTAGGAAAAATATTAAAAATCTGTCCGGTACAGTAACAGATGGTAATCTATTTCCTTTTGAATTAAAAAAGTCTATGATTAATGTTTATTAGTGTTTTTTTGCTCAGTAAACTCTTTCTGCTAATTATTCATTAATTTTTCATTCTCTCTTATGAAAAAAACAGAGCTGAAGTGTGTCTCTGTGCCCAGTGGAAAACACCCTGGCTGCTTTATCACCTTGCTGTTTAAAAACAAAAGCAACTTTTCACAGGCTGACACCTTTATATAAGGATTATAAAAGATAGCAGAGAAATCTCTTTTGTCTTGAAAAATGAAAAGTTGATCAAAGGATTAGGTATTGAAGCCTATCTAGGTAGTGAATATGTGAGTGGGTGAGTGATCTAATAGCTTGACCTAAGAATGAAGAGTAGCAGAATCTGAATGTTGTGCTTTCTTTGCTTCTCTGTGCAGAATTTAAGAAGAGGATTACCTCAGGTTCCTTACTTCAGTCTCTATGGAGACCAAGAAGGTGCTTATGAACATCCAGGCTCCAGCCTTTTCCCTGAGGGTCCTAATGACTATGTCTTCAGTCATCTTCCACTCCACTCTCAGCAACAAGTGCGAGCTCCTATCCCCATGGTGCCCGTTGGTGGGATCCAGATGGTTCACTCCATGCCCCCGGCCCTTTCCAGTTTACATCCTCCACCCACATTGCCCCTGCCAATGGAGGGCTTTGAGGAGAAGAAAGGTGCGTCAGGGGAGTCCTTCTCCAAGGACCCCTATGTGCTTTCTAAGCAGCATGAGAAGCGAGGTCCTCACGCTTTGCAGTCCTCTGGTCCACCTAGCACTCCCTCTTCTCCTCGGCTGTTAATGAAACAGAGCACTTCGGAAGACAGCCTAAACGCAACAGAGCGGGAACAGGAGGAAAATATACAGACTTGTACAAAAGCCATTGCCTCTCTCCGGATTGCCACAGAAGAGGCAGCTCTGCTTGGGGCAGATCAGCCAGCACGGGTGCAGGAGCCCCACCAGAACCCCCTGGGAAGTGCACATGTTAGCATTAGACACTTTAGTAGACCTGAGCCGGGTCAGCCCTGTACCTCAGCCACCCACCCTGACTTGCATGATGGTGAAAAGGACAATTTTGGTACATCACAGACTCCATTAGCTCACTCCACGTTTTACAGCAAGAGTTGTGTGGATGACAAGCAGGCGGACTTTCACAGCAGCAAGGAGTTATCTTCAAGCACAGAGGAGGGCAAAGATCCTTCATCAGAAAAGAGTCAGCTACATTGATCTGCGATGCATGGAGACTTTCATTTCCACATTTTCCCATTTTTTTGTTTTTGTTTTTCTAGAAATGGAGGTAATCAAGTTTATAGCATGCCTGTCCTAAGTTACAGTAGTTTGCTATTATATATACTTTTGTTATATCAAAAGAATTAGGTAAATTAACAAGTCATCATGAGCCTGACCAAAACAAAATTTGAAATTAACCTATTGGGTCTGGTACTTTTAAAATTGTACAGATGTTTGTGCCTTTTCTTTACTTTGCTTATATTCTTATAAGCATTTTTTAGCAGTAATTTGTACATATTTTAGAATTTGTGTATCTGCTTTGTAATAAATGTAATTTCTTTCCTTTTTTGGACACTTGGATCTAAATGATGTAAAGCAAAACAGCATCAATATATATGTGAGGTTGCACTAAAACATATTTTTATATGATTAAAACTGAACAGCTTTTATGTACAGCTCTGATTCTGTAATACTAATATTTATTTACTTTGTTTCATAAATTGTACATTTTTTCTTAATGTTGTGGATTGCTTTTCTATGTGAAGCATGGGATTTACTGTTGCGTAACTAGAACAAAAATGTACATTGTAAACAAGATATTTAAAGTAGAGTATCTTATTCTGCACTTATGCATTAGTTAAAAAAAAAGATAAAGGATGTATCAGTCAGTTCTTAACTCTTGTATATTTTTTTGTCTCTTGTTTGCTGGATTGACTATAACTTAAGTGCTGATTGTGATTTTAAAATGATAGTACCGTAAAGCATTAAAGTAAACAATGTGCTATTGTGAGTTTTTTCAAAGCTTTATAAATCAGTTATAAATAATATTAAAAGTATTTGGTCTTATGTGAACATGTTGATCTATATACTCATCTAAAAATATGGGAAAACATTCCACCCCATGTAAATATGTACAAGTGCATCACTGGTACAATTTTATGTAACTTGTTGGACACTAGGTTGCCACAGACCTATGCTAGGTGTCTTTAAAAAATTAAAGTGACAAAGCACATGGGACTGTGTAGAGCTTGGTTATCGGCCGGCCCGGTGGCTTGGCAGGCAGTGCTGTGCGCTGCTCATGGTGAAGACCTGGGCTTAGCAATCTCCTTATTTCTTGCTACACAGGATGGTGACTGGAACTAAGGCTACACAGAGGGTCGCACTTGGACTCTGAGGGTTGGGTGTGGAAGGGGGAAAAGGGGTTGGAGACCTGCTCCCCAGCTCTTCCTGTCAGCCAGTTTACATGGGAACAGGGTTAACATCTGTGTTAGGGGAGGTCACCTTACCCTTCTGCACAGGGGAAGAGTGTCATACTCCTGGCTATCTCAGGGGGAATGGGGAAAAGAATCTTTCAAGGGCAAAGAACTCGTGGGAGGATGATGTCTGTTGTATGTAATACTCACAATGGCTTTTGGCTAGTGTTGAAGGTGGGAAGAGCCTTTGTAGGTCCAGAAGAGTGGAAGAGAGGGAGGGGTACAGCAACATGTGCACAGGCACGCACATGTGTGCACGCACACACACAATCTGGGTTATCTTTGTGCTATATAGTGGATTATAATTCTGTGAAACCAAGTTTGTATATTGAATTACATTAAGGAGTGTTCTTTAAAAAGAGAAATAAATATACAATTACATGCTTGAGGTGTCTAGTTCTTATGTGTTGCTTTACATTTTAATTTCCCAATTTTGTTTCTAAAGAAATTTTGATACTAGCAACATACCATCTGTGCTTTTAAGTCCTAGGTTCTGCCCATCCTGAGGTATGCTGAGTCTGAATGCTTTTAACAAGTGAGAAGACAGTCATTGGCGTCCATAGGTCATCTGATTAGAACAAGATAGTGGTCACCAAGGTGTGGGACCCAGAAATAGACTTATCCAAACCTCAGCATGGGCCTGGGCAGCATATGTTGCATCTGAACAGAGTCATGAATAAAACAAATTATCATTTTCCCTTCTGCTTCTCTTGCAGTATGCATACTTATCTGAAATTCCACTGGGGAAACTTCTTTCCTTTTGCCAAGGTGGCTGAAGCTAAGAATTAACTGAAATATATCAGAAAATACCCACAAATCACAGTTCTTTTATTAGAAAGAGTAGAACGTTTTTAATAATAAAAGCAGAAGCTCATTAAAAGTCAAAATCTATTAGTATTTCCACTATAAAAATCTAAAATTGGAGGATTTACAATGTACCCATTTGCTTTTATGAGCCAGACTGTCTTTTTAAACTGTATTTTACAAAGGTGAATTAAAGGTCAACACAGACACTCTAAGAAGAACCTTTTGATTATTTGGGGTGATCTGTGTGTTGTATTCCTCATTGTTGTGTGCGTGTGTGTGTGTGTGGGTGTGTGGGTGTGTTGGTGATATCAGGCCAAATCAAATTACTCTGTTTCTTCCTCTATCTAATTCATCACTCATTTATTCATTCATAAAAGTTTTTGAGTGCCAACTATGAACTGGGTATAAAAGTGGGCATTTTTTTAAATTTATTTTTTTGAGACAGAGTCTCACTGCAGCCCAGGTTGGAGTGCAGTGGCACAATCTCAGCTCACTGCAATCTCTGCCTTTCAAGTTCAAGTGATTCTCCCATCTCAGCCTCCTGAGTAGCTGGGTCTGCAGTCACATGCCACCATGGCCCACTATTTTTTGTATTTTTAGTAGAGATGGGTTTTCACCATATTGGCCAGCCTGGCCTCAAGTGATCTGCCTGCCTCGGCCTCCCAAAGTGCTAAGATTACAGGTATGAACCAATGCTCCCAGCCCAGTGGTGGGCATTTAGAATTAATGAGGAGTATCCCTGCCACCAAGGAACTCAAGTAAATAGGAAAGATATATGTGAGTAAATACAGATAATGTGATGTTTGAGCTCAAACAGTCGCACATTTGGTGTGTTTTATAACCACAAAGGGAGTGAGCAATCATCTTGGAGAGAGCAATCATCCTGCTGAGAATGGAGAAAGGCTTCATCACAGGGATAGCCTTGGAACAGATCTTTGAAACAATATGTTGACTAATTCACTCAACATAGTTTTTCATCACCTACATTGGGGTAAGTTTTTGTGTGCTAGGTGTCCAGTATGGCACAAAACATATAAAATCCTTGCCTTCATGGTGTTTATATTTGAGCCGAAAGGGCATTATAAAAACATAAGCAGAAAAGCACATGTTAGATGATTTGGGATCTGCAAAGCAATATATTGGTAAAAAGCAAAATGTAGCTGGCACCCTGGGTATATGGCAAGGTGGTAGATAATTAAGCTAGAAACACATATCGAAGTCCAATTTCCTAATCCAGCCTACAGCTCTTGCTCTGTAAGCAGTGGAGAACCAAGGAAGGATTGAAGCAATAAAGTGTACTTGTTATCGTTATCATTATTTAGGGAAAAATAAAACACTGTGGCAGCAGTAAAGATAAGGGAAATAAAGACAGCAGCAATCCAAACATGATGAGGACCTGCAGAAAGAAGGAACAGTTTTGCTTAATGAAGAGGAATGGCTGATAGCTAGACTGATTTGGTGCTGGGATGAAGGAGATGCAGAAGTTAAAGATGAAGATGAGTTTTTAACCTGGACAATGGAATGAGGGAGGCATTATTCAGCCACAAAAGACAGTGGATTTGTACAGAATGCTGGGAAAGAAATGAACTCTCCTTAGCAGTTCCAAAGGTGTTCAACCCCAAACAAGAGAGGCCAGAGCTGGAGACTGGTTTCTCAGTTCTTGTCTTTCATCATAGCTGAGAACCCTGAATTGGATGAAATTCCTCAGTGTATTATAAAGGGATAGAAGAGGAAGTCTGAGGATTTCCAAAGGTAGACAAGGAGCGTGGGGGCAAGCAAAGATATACTTCATGGGACAGTACATCTCATCTGTGAGCCTTAGTTATACAAAATTGTTTAATATTTTTGCTAACTTGATTTTCAATATGTTCCCTGAGATAATTTTTAGAAAACAAAGCTTTTAGAACACCATTTTCTGAGGGGAAAAAAAAAACCCACTATTTGTGCAATTATTTACTGTTCGTTACTATTTCCTTAGTAGCATAATTGTAGCTTTATTATTAAACAATTAATTAGAGATTATTAAATTAACCTGTCATTTACAAATGTCTTTTCCAAAACCTATGGTCTAGAGAGGTTAGGTGAAGTTTTCAAGGAGAAATAGGTAGTTTACTGCCGAGTCAAGGCTAACACTGAGCTCCCAACTATTTGTCCAGGTTTGCTTAAAGAACAGTTTCTGATTATTTATGCTCTTCTCATTTAGATTAAGGTTTCAACCACAACAATTTACAGTGAAAGTTGTCTGATTGAATGAGCTGAGAATCATACAAAAACAACAAAGCCTGTTTCTGCCCTGGAAATGGTTATTAGTTTAAAATATATTACTAAATATGGTGGCATCTATTTCATCACAGTACAGTTTTCTTTTTTCCCCCTGGGGGCTGTTTGACATTATACAGTGCATAAGTTCCCATTCATTTCCGAGTATAGAGAAACATGTGCTTACCCACACTTCATATGCAACAATAAGCCAGCTTGACCATGCTGAAGAACAGGGAAAATGGCAGAAATTATCCTACTTGGTACTAAAGAGTACCTAAAGATGAACAAGAAGAAGATATGAACTCTGTTTTCTAGAACTCTCTAGATGAATCATTTTATGCATACATATCCATTGCTCATCAGCAACTAAGGCCACCTTCAGAAATATACATTTGGCTGAGTGTGTTGACATGTGCCTGTAATTCCAGCTCTTTGGGAGGCTGATTCAGGAGGATTGCTTGAGGCCAGGATTTCAAGACTAGAAATACACATTGGTTATCAAAATGAATCATATCAACAGATTTTTCTCTCATTCACTAAGTGCCTATAAATGTATTTCATATTCTGTACTAGATCCCTGGCATGGTTTTTTATTTTTATATTTTATTTTTTTGAGACAGAGTCTTGCTCTTTCTCCCCAGCTGGAGTGCAGTGGTGCTATCTAGGCTCATTGTAACCTCTGCCTCCTTGACTCAAGAGCCCCACCCACCTCAGCCTCCAGAGTAGCTGGGACCACAGGTCCCTGCCACCACGCCTGGCTAATTTTTTGTATTTTTTTGTAGAGATGGGATCTCACCATGTTGGCCAGGCTGGTCTAGAACTCATGGGCTCAAGTGATCTGCCTGCCTCGGCCTCCCAAAGTGCTGGGATTACAGGAGTGAGCACCACGTTCAGCCTCTGGCATGTTTTATATTTCAAGTAGATCTCAAGCTTTGTTACATTGTTGAAATACAAGTTTAATCAATATAGTTTGATGTGAATAAAATTTCGTTTTGGCAAAATTATAATAAAATGATTAATGGTCATACGTTTCCTTAATTCATTAAAAATCATATTAATAAAATATTTTAAACTGATAACCTTTCTATTAAAAAATGCCACTGGACGAGGTGGCTATTTTTTCCTATGTGTTATTGTATACAAAATCCCACTTTTATCTAATGATGGTAAGTATTATTTACTAGACCTGTTGTAAGTGCTTTCATTTATTCCCTCATTTAATAGCCATAAAACTAAGGAAATAATTTGCTTAACCTTTTCCAGCTAGTAAGGAGAAGAGGCAGTTAGACTCTAAAATCGGTGCAGTCCAGTAGAACTTTCTGAAATGGAAACAATGTTCCATATCTGCACTTTTCAGCGCAAGAGCCTATAGCTGCACATGACTGTGGAGCACTGGGAATACAGCAAGTGCAGCTGAGAAACTGGGCTTTTAATTTTATTTAATTATATTTAAATTAAACTTCACGTGTGTGTGGTGCTTCCTGAACTGTCAACCACCTGCAGGCTGCACTCTTCCCCTGTGCACAGGCTGCACCATCCACCTCTATAAGCACTCACCATTTGACAGCTATTGAGATTCTTTCACACGCTGGCTCTTCTTGGTGCTGGAGCTAAACCAAAGAGCAACAGCCAAACCCAAAAATCTGCTATCATAGAACCTGGGTTCACTGCTTATCACTAAGTATCTAGTTAAGTATTTTGGTGATACAATCCCATTGATTGCTTCTGTTTCCATTGAGTTTGGGACCTTGGAACTCACTCAAGCAGTAACAGCCAAAGCATGTTTTTCTGAAGAAGTAAACAAGCATCTCATAGGCAACTCTTACTCCTCCTGCCAGAAATCTGTTAAAAGCGAGGATGGAGAATCTACCCCATTCTCAGGACTCCTGCGGGGTCTCTCACCTCTCCCTTAGTATAAATCCGTTTGCCTCCCTGTGGGCCTGAGAAGAGAGAGATGCAGCTGGGCTCCCCGAGGGCCCTGACTCCCCTACTGCTTCTACAATAGGACATGGAGTCTGTGAAGAGAGTGCCCTGGCCCCTGGAAGACTTGCCTTGCTGTTCTGCTGACCACATGTAATTAAGTAAGTGGAAGGCAGAAGAAAGGAGTCTGCCATTTCATCTCCCTCCACAGGGAAGGGTGGAGGAAGGAAAGAAACAGAGGGGTTTCCTTTCTCTAGCCGAGCTGCCATCCTGGCTGAAGCAGGGGGCCTGAGGAAAAGGCTGCTCCTAGCTCCTGTGTATCCATATAAGTAGCCAGATTCATGGCACCCTGCAAATGTTTCCCTCTTTGAAGAAAACCCACTGTCACCAAGAACCT